TGGAGAGCTACCCCGTGTTCACGGATAGGAAGACTCGGTATTGTCAAGGTGGCGTTTCTGCCCAGCTTGATCTTTACGTTCAATTTAGTAACAGCGAAAAATCCCAGGACATTATTTTATGGCTACTGACAAACTGATCCTAAATTTTATATGGAGGGAAGGAAGAGGGGAGGAGGAGAAAGGAAGGAAGGAAGGCAGGAGAAAAAAATGAACCTAGACATAGGTTCATTTCACAAAAACCTTACACTTTTCACAAAAAAGAAACTCAGAGTGGACCATAAACCCAAATATAAAACACAAAAACTATAAAACTCCCAGAACACAACATAGGAAAAGATCTGGGTGACCTGGATGCTGATGTTTTAGATTCAACACCAAAGGCATGAGCCATAAAATTACTGATAAGGTGGATTTCACTACAATTTTTAAACTTTTGCTCGGCAAAAGACAATGCCAAGAAGTGGAACTGCTGAGGCACACGGGAAGAGCACCTGAGTTCTGTGACATGCTGCCACACTGCCCTCCAAGGTGGCTGTTCAACTGTGAGGAGAAGCCACACATTGGTGGAGGGGTGGCTTGCAGATGTTTCTGGTAAAAGACTGTTAGCCAAAAACAGAAGAACTCTTATACATCAATTAGAAAATGAACAACTCAGTTTTTAAAATGGGCAAAAGACAGGAGACACCCAGCCAAAGGTCTACAAATGGCAAATAAGCCTATCAAAAATCTTCAACAGCATATATCGCTAGGTAATCACAAACTCAAACGAGATGCCACTACCCACCTACTACAGGAGCCAGAATCCACACTGTTGACATCACCAAATGCTAGCAAAGTTGTGGAGCAACAGGAACTCTCATTCACCGCTGACGGGAATGAAAACGGGCCCAGCTCCTCTGGAATAGTGTGTCAGCTTCTTACAAAACTAACCTCACTTTCCCATTCGATCCAGGAATGCTCTCCTTGTTACTTAGGCAATGAATTGAAATGAACATCCACACAAACAACTGCATCCTGATGTTTACAGCGGTTTGCTTTACAATTGCCAAAACTTGGAAGCGACTGAGATGTCCCTCAGGAGCGAGAATGGATAAACAAAATGTGGTAATCCCGACAATAGGGTATTATCTGGTGCCAAAAATGAGCTACCAAAGCACAAAAAGACATGAAGGACGCTTAGATGAATATTACTAAGTTAAAGAAGCCAAGATGAAAAAGCTACATAGTGTGCTGGGCATGGTGGTGCACGCCTGTAATCCCAGCACTCGGGAGGCTGAGACAGGAGGATCATTGTGAGTTCGAGACCAGCCTGGGCTACAAAGTGAGCTCAAGGACAGCCTGAACTGCATAGCGAGACCCTGTCTCAAAAAGACAAAAAAAAAAGCTACGTAGTGTGTGACTCCAACTACAGTATATGACACTCTGGAGAAGGAAAACTTCAGAGACAGTGTGAAGACCTAAGGCTGCCAGGGTAGTGGGGAAGAGGGGATGAGTGTATGCAGTGTGAAGGGATGCAGGCCAGTGACGCTGTCCTGTGGGATACCACAGTGGTGGGTACATCATACGTTGCCAAAACCCATAGTACATGCACAAGACGGAGCCCTGAGGCAAGCTCTGAACTTCGGGTGAAGGCGAAGGCACAGGTTCACTGACTGTAACAAATGCGGTGTGGGATACAGGTGGTCGGCAGGTGGGGGCAGCAGTGGGCATATGGGAATTCTGCTCTTCCCTCAATTGTGCTGAAAGCTAAAACGAGAGAGAGAGAGAGAGACAGACAGACAGACAGACAGACAGAGACAGAGACAGAGACAGACAGACCGAGACCCCGAGACTGAGACCGAGATAGATTTGGTTTGTTTGACACAGGGTTTCACTATGTAGCCCAAAGTGGCCTTGAACTTGCTATGTAGCCCAGGTTGGCCTCAAACTCATGGCAGTCTTCCTGCCTCAGCCTCTGAGTACATTCTCAATTGTTAGATTTTTTTTTTTTTTTTTTTTTGAGACAGGGTCTCGCTATGCAGCTCAGGCTGGCCCTGAGCTCACTTTGTAGCCCAGGCTAGCCTTGAACTCACAACAATCCTCCTGCCTCAGCCTCCGGACTGCTGGGATTACAGGCGTGCGCCATCACGCCTGGCGCTGTAAGACTCTTAAGAGAAACTGATGCTCAGGAACAGCCAGAGAGGCCGATTAGCAAGAAAGCTTTATCTCATCAACCTGAAAGGGCAGAACTTCCTGCTCCTGTAGCCTAAGGTAGGGTACAGGACTGAGCCTTGGCTAAGACCTGACACCATAAAAGCCTCTCTCCATTGTATTGTGCTTGTTCTACTGATCCGTGGACTGACAGGAGTTGCAGGCACATAAAGGTAGACAGAAGGCAAACTTCCACTCGATGAAAGGAAGCACTCTCCAATAACCCCGGAAGCAGCGAGCTGGCCAGAATCAGGATCAACGTTCATCAGGGCGGTCGGCAAACAGCTTCACGCTTGAAGTGTGTGCGGTCCTTCCTAACTCAGACTATACTCCAACTGGGAGCATCTCACATGGCTCGCACCCTGCCGGCCTGGTCCTGGGCATGTCTGATTTCCCACGCCCCTGCCCCTGCCCACATGTGAGGCTGGGCTCTCGCACTTTGGCCAGAAAAGGCGAGAAAAGCAAGCTGTCCTCCTGGGGGCCGGAAGGGGAGGGAGATGAGGCCCTCCACCCCCAAGGGAACTTGCACACCAGGAAGAGCATGGCAAATGGGCCCAGGACAGCACTCTCCGCACTCTCTGCTCAGGCCCCCCGGGGTCCCGGACCCTTGCTGGCACATGGCGGGCCTCAGGCGGCTCACAAGTACAGGGTACATGGCCGTCTGCACTGCACGGACCCCTCCCCTGCATCCCATTGAGGTTTCAGATGGGAGCACTCATCGCCTGGGTCAGACCTCACAGATGGGGAAACTGAGACTCAGAGAACTGACAAGCCCAAGGTCACACAGTCAGTCATGAAACACTACTCCAGGCCTCATGGTGCCACGCCAAGTCTTCCGTTCGGCCAGCCTGCCCGACAGACCGCCCAAGCCATCAGGACACTTTATCACCGGGCACGGTGCCAAATGCCTTCCTGTGCAGTTCGGAGCACACCTGGCAGCCTCCGCCCTGCAGGGGAGGTGGGGGAGGGACGGGGGACAGACAGACCCACGCTATGGACGAGCAGGTTAAGAAAGGAAACTTTGGTAGAGTGAGTCAGTGGTCAGGCCAGGAAAAGATGTTGATCTAGGGCACGCGGTGGACAAGGACCACTGACTCGGGCATAGCTCTGTCTCTCCTACCTGCCCAGAGCACCCAGCACTGCAGGTGCCAGTTGGGCCTGAGATTTACTCTTATTTTGTACCCAAAAAAAGCAAGTTCACAGCTGACGGCTTCCCTCCAATGGGCGGTGGCATTAAGCAAGGCCTGTGTGCAGCAGGTCTCTACTGTCCTGATTTCCTCGCTAAAGACCTAGATAGAGTGTCTAAATTTTCCTCCAGCTGACTGTGCCCCAGATTTAGCCTCTCTGATGGATAAGTCTCTCCCTGCTAGTGCTGTCTGTCACCCCATCCAATCCCATCCCATCCCAGCTTCTTGAATCACCTGTCTTTAAATTGTTGGCAACGCACCAGTCACACTCAAAACATAGGACTGGGGCAAAAAGGCCCAAACTCTAAACGGGGCCGCAGGTGAGAGTCTGCTGACATGGAGGCCCAGCCCCCTGGGAGCAGAGCGCCTCGGTATGACAGTCCAGGTTTCCAAGTGTACAGCCTCAACCCTTTTTTATTCTTTGTAATCAGCAAATGACTTGAAATCTAACTGGAAGAATAAATGGGCCAAAAGGACTGATAAAAATTTGGAAGAAGAACAATAAAAGTGGATTGTCCTGCTGGATTAAAATCATCGGTTCATTCCATACCCCAGGCAGGTGCTGGACAGGCTCTGAGAAGGTTTGAGGTACAAAGGGCACACAGGGTCCCTTGAGGGGTGGTCAGAAAGGTGCTGAGCCCTGACAGCAGGCACTGCACCTGCCTAGACCGCTAGCCCCGGCCCTGTGGCTTGCCAGCAAGAGGACAAGGAAAGGTGCCAAGGCAGAGAAGTGGACCCCATCAGGTCCTCCCATGCGGGGTTCTCTGGACAAGCCACTCTACAGCTCTGGGGCTCAGACAGTTCACGTGCAGGATGGGCCCGTAGTAAATAACAGCATGCACTAATAAACGCAGACACTCCTCACGCACGCACTGTGTGCTGAGCCCTTCCTGTGTAAGGTCCTCCTTCACCCTCACAGCATCCTTAAGAAGATGGGTTCTATCATTACTCTCCCTTTCCAGATGAGAATACTGATGTTCAGACAGGTGGAGTAACTTGCCCGAGGTCACACAGCTAGAAGTGCTGAAGGCCAAATACAGACAGGCAGCTGGCTCCAGATTCCACACTGCCAGCTCCGACCCTACCCTGCCCTTCAGGCAAGGCCATGCTGCCTTGAGATCTGACATGATGCAAACTTCAGGGGCACCAATGGGGCAAGAGTCTCCTTGCCCCCACAGGCTGCTTCATGCCAGTCATGAGCCTGCTTGGGAACTGTGTTGTCAACAGAGAATGAAGGGACCCCAGGATCACCAAACCCCACCACCCTAACGCGGCCAGACCCCCAGCTCCGGTTAGCATAGGCCATTCCAGTCTCCCGTGAGCATCAGTGAGAAGCAGCTTACGAAGTGCTCGATGACTCTTTCTTTAGATGGTGGCTCCCTACCCTTTTTCCTTTGCTTCCGAGTGGGCAAGGAGAAATACACTTCCTGCCCAGCAGGTACAGCCAGTGGCAAGTGTCGTCATCCCCCCGGCCTCCTGCAAAACCCCACCTGACTCCCCAGCACACTCCCTGGTGCCCGGCGCCCGGCGTCACTCCCCGATACTGTGCTAGACACGTGCTGCAGGGCTGAGGAGGGGCAGCGGGGAGGCGCGGCAGCTCTCAGCATCATCCTCTGTGCCTACCTCTCTCTGCTCCCTCTGCAGGCACAGTTCTTCAGTCTCTTCCATCAGTTTGTCTGCAAAGCAAGCACACACTCACAAAGGGCTCCCTCAGATCTCAGGGCCTGAGTGGGCAGGTGCTGGAGGTGGCCTCTGTCACCCCAGCGTCTCCCCAGGAAGAGCCCAGCACCCCTGCTGACCAGGGACTGGGGCGAGCTCTGGTGGGGGAAGCTACCTCCACAGCCCAAGCTACTTCGCTCCTCTCTGGTTATCATCCCTGCTTTGTGCATTCACGGGGCCATGATGGGACCTCATCTTTGAATCTGAGCAGCCCCAAGGACTGCCGTAGCCAGCCTGGTCCCCAGCGCCTGACCCACGAGCACTGGTGTCTGGCTAGCGGGGAAGGCAGAGCCCTGGGGTGAGGAAGGGGGTGTGTGGAGCAGGAAGAGAGGAACCAGGGCAGGGCTGCGAGTTTCTAGGTAGACCGAAGAGGACAGGCCCCGGCAATGAGCAAGGCCCTGGTTCACTGCCTTCTCTCCCGTGCAGGCTCTGGGGCCCAGGATTGGATGGCAAGGTCATCTCCATTCAGGAACGCTCACTTCGAGCCCAACACAAGCGCCCACAGGCGTTTTCTCTCTGACCTCCACTCTGCCTCTAAAAGCTAAAGACTATTTTTATCTCCACTTTAAGGAGGAAGAAACTGAGTTTAGAGTTGCTGCTCCACCCAAGGACACACACAGCTGATGGGGGGGTGGTGACAAGGTGGGGTCAGAGCCCAGGCTCCCCTAACAGCATGCCCCGCCTCCAGCCGCACTGGCCAAAAGGACAGTTAAGGCACAATGAAGCCTTCCAGGAGCTCCTCAGGAGGAGCCCGCTGAGCCCCCAGACACCCCTCCCAGGCCCCATGGGCCACCAGTAGGAGCCCTCAGATCCCCTGCAGCCAACCTAAATACTCCTGCTTTTCCTTCGCCAACTGCAGCCCCTGGGCCTCCAGGCTTTTGATCATAGCTTCTCCCAGCTGGGCGTTCTTCCAGGTGCTGGGGACGGAGGGCAGATGGGACAGGGCGGAGAAGGGGAGGAAACAGTGGTTAGTCCAGAAGCAGCAGGGGAGAGAATGGGTCTGTGCCGTCCCCGCCCAGCGTCTCTCAGAATCTCAGCTTGTGCTGTCACCGCGGCACCCGGGGCTCTGGGCGCGACACCAGCATCCGCCAGCTACAGGGCCTGCAGGCTGCCCTGCGCTGGGAAGCGGGCCACGGGGGCCGGGCCAGCAGAGCCTTCAGAACAGGGAGGAGACTGTTTTCCGGTGGCGTCTCACTAGCACGGCCACCACCGAGCACAGGCACAGGGCGGGACTCTGTTATTTTGGGCCCGAGGACAGGCATTCATGTGCAAATGCCCGGTGTCCCCCAGGACTCTGCGATCTAGACCAGATTTACAAAGCGTAGCTCTGCTCCTCCCTGGGGGTGAAGCCGTTTCAAGGAGGTGCCAAACACAGCCAGTGACACTGAATTCACTCCCCAGGGTGGGAGACGAATGACGTCCGCCTCTGCCACCTGTGACCATAGATGCTTCCCGGCTCCACGAGGGAACCCTCACAGATGCCCTGAAGTCGGGCCTGCTTCCTCTCCCCTGCTGGCCAGCTCCCACGGCCCTGTCGGTGCCCACAGAGCCCTGAACTGACAGGCAGGCGCCCCATCTTCGAGACCCTCACGCAGCCCTCCCTCCCGGCTGACACTTACACCTTCCCAGACTCTTGCAGCATTTCCAGCCACTGCGTCTGCTCGAACTCGGACTCCGCGGCTAGCAGGACGTTGCCCTGCCGGGAAGAGGAGCCGTGGGCATGCCTGGGAGGTGGCCATGCCAAGGGAGAGTAGACCACTCCCTCTCCTGTCACCCCCGGGCACTGACATCCCCCGCAGGAAGAAGCCGGGGCACCCCCACCACGCCCGGGCCGAGGGGCCTTCGCTCACGTGGAAGTCCTGGTGCGAGATCTTCATGGCATAGGGCATGCTGGGCTCTTCCTTGGCCTCCACCAGGCAGCCCCCCAAAGGGATGACGCCCTGAGGAGGAACCAGAGCAGGCAGCCCCACCCCACCAGCTCCGGTCACTCGCGGCCCTCGATAAGGCCAAGGGCCCCAACTGAATCGACCCGGGGGCCACAGGACAGAGGCCAGGAGTGACTCCCAGGGGGAGGAAGGGCTGGGGCACAGGAGGGCGGGGCGCTGGGCGTCTTGTGCCCTGTGAGGATCTGCTCTCAAGGCTCCCTGCTGGGCCGCAGATGACCGAGCCTGTCCCCTCCACATCCCCTCCACGCCCCGGCGTCCCCTGTGCCTGCCCCGCCGGGCCTCCTCTCACCTTGGGGTGTATATTGAAGTACTTGTTGGTTTCAAAGCTCTTCTTCTCACTCTCAGAGTAGTACAGCAGAAAGCTCTCTTTGATGATGAAAAACCTACAGCGGAGCGGGGAGGGCAACCAGGAGAGGAGAGTGAGGTCTCCGGACAAGAATGCCCCTGGCCCTGGCGACACCAGCTCAGGGTCCAAAGGCCTCAGCCGGCCAGCGGGCCTCCCTGCTCTCCTGCAGACAGCCCGGCCCTCGCACTAGTGTGGCCGCTGGCTGGCTGCCTCTAACCCGCTGAACCGCCACCCTCGGCACAGCAGGGTACCTTTGCCCCTTGGGGTCTCACCCAGGCGGGGTGGAAGGAGGGGAAGAAGGCACAGGAGCCCAAGGTGGGCCTTCCAGAGTCACCTTGAGAGTTGGCAGCCGGACGGACTTGGGGACAGGCAGCTGAGGCCAGGTGTGCAGCCCTGACCCCAACCCCAGCACGGCCTCTGTCTCAGACGCTCCCCAGCCTCCTCCTGGGACTCAGGTCTAACCGAGGAGCCCTGGGTCCTTGATCCTTTCTGACTGCTGGGGAGATGAAGCCTCCATAGCAACACATGGAGCAGGCGGCCCACCCTGGGGACTCTTCCAGAACCAGTGACCGAGGCTGACTATGATAAGATGCCCAGTGCCCGCTAGGGGAAGAACCAGTCGGCCCTCAAAGCCCCTGAGGTTCAGAGACCCGGGACTGGCTGCTTCTTCCTCCGGGGCCACTGTGCGGTGACAGGGAGTGAGCAGGGGGTGCCGGAGAGTCTGAGCTGCTGTGTGTCTGCAGGCGGGCGTGCACACGGGTGCACACGCGTGTGCATCGGGGAGATTTCAGAGCAGCAGGATGCTGGAGCCTGCAGCGCTGGACTCACAAGAGCAGCAGTATGAATCTCTCCCCGCGCTGCGATCAGGGACATGGTATTCATGGCGCGGCACTGCCCGGGGCTGCAGTATTTACACTATGAAAATCAAACGTTAGAGAGCTGCCCGGCCCCTTTCCCGGGAAGCTGCTGTTAAACAGCCCCCAGCACCACTAGCTGGAAACCCCACGACATCCGTCCGAAGCCACAGCGGGGCAGGCACAGGCCTGGGACAGCTGCCCCCTTCCCCTACCCAGCGAGTACTTTGGTACAAGACTTACACTGACCCCGCCCTCCACCGCTTTGTGAGACAGGGATGCGCTGCGCTGCCCAGGGCGGCCCAGACCCGGGGACTCAGGCAGCCCACCTAGCCCAAGCCCCCGAACACACACGGAGCTGTGGACGCTGCTCAGGGTGACACCCTGCTGAGGCCAGCTCTTCCCCCAGGCCTTCCTGCCTCCTGCGGAAGGCAGCACAGGACACCCCCGACAGAACTGCCATGACATCCGGCCCTCCAGGGGCCAGCCTTGCCCACCCATCAGCTTTCCTGCTGCTTGTGAGGTCGCTGCCTCCTTTGCTGGTCCCGCGACCTCACAGGGGATGGTGCCGCTGCCAGGACCACCTCCTGCTCCTTCACCTGGCCGAGCCTCCTCTGCCTTGAGGACCAGCCCAGCCCACACTGACGTCTGTGCCCTGCTGCACCGGGCCTCCAGGCTGGGCAGTTGGCATGTGGCACCCACTGCCACACCCCACGTGCTTTTCTTGTCCTGAGAGGGCCCCTGATCCCAGGCCACTTTGGTTCTACGGATGAGGTTATTTGGCCTTTTGCCAGATTGAGTTGGGGAGTTCAGTCAAGAGAGCTCAGCTCTCTGGGCCTTGGTTTCTTTGTCTATAGAATGGGTGTGATAACACCAACTTACGTGGCTGCTGTGAGGACCACGTGAGACTGGCAGAGGACCAGGGCAGGGCCGAGTGGTGTGTGGTCTGGCACGTACCTCCACATAAAAGGGGAGGCCAGCGGCGCAGAGCTGCCTCTGCCCACTTCAACCACCAGTAAAATAGAACCGTGTCCCCATCACCACCAAATCCACATGCTGAAGCCCTAACCACGAATGTGGAGGTGATTAAGGTGAAAGGAGTTAACAGTGGCAAGGCCCTAATCCAACAGGGCTGTGGCCTTGCAAGATCTTTCTCTCCCTCCGTCCCTCTTTCCTTCCCTCTCCCTCTCCCTCCTCGGTCCTCTCCGCTCTCCTCACTGCCAAAGGACACAGTGAGAAGCTGGCCACCTGTGACTGGGAAGAAGGCCCTCACCAGAGCCCGACTATGCTGGGGATGGGTGGGGTCAGCGGTCGATGATAGTGAACCGGAAACTAAGCAGCACAGAGCTGCCCCCTCCCCTTCAATAGCTTTGAAGTACTGAACCGTGGCAGAGGGAGGCCAAAGAAGAAGCTGGTCTTTGCAGAGAGGAAGGTAGAGACCCACAGGAGCGAAGGTCCTGAGGCGGGCGTGTGCCTGGCTCCGGAAGGACCCGAGGGCTGAGGCAGAGCTGAGGGCAGCTGGGCCGGCGGGCTTGAGGCCCTGTGGCCACTGTCACAGTGGTAACGACGGAGCTTGCGTTTTCTTGGTTCTTACCACAAACCATGATTGACTCCAAGCAGTTACCTGTGCTCATGCACTTAACCCAGTTCTCCTACAAGAGGGGCGCTTCTGGAATTTAATCCAGACAGAAATGAGGCGGAAAGGTGGCACGACTCGCTGAGAGCCACACAGCTGTCCGGTAGAGGCCGGCTTTTTCTGAGTAGGGAAACGGCCATGGGGGTGCTATGAAGGGAAAGGAAGGAACCTGACTTACATCGAGAAAGGCTGCCAAGTTTGGAACAGACTGTCAGGCAGAGCTATTGCCAACATGGCTGGGGGCAAGCGAAGATCTAGTGAGCAAGTGGACAGAGGTGTGCTCAGTCCACAGAACGTGTCCCCAAATGTCACCTCTTTTTTTTTAAGACAGAGTCTCTCAATGTAGTTCAGACTGGTGTTGAACTCATTATGGTTTTGTTTTGTTTTGTTTTTTTTATTTTGGTTTCTTTTTGAGACAGGGTCTCACTATGTAATTCAGGCTGTTCCTGAACTCAGGGTGATCCTCCTGTCTCAGCCTCCCAAGCACTGAGACAACAGGCGTGCACCACCACGCCCGGCTTGTGCCCTCCTTCCAAAGCACGGCACAGAAGCAGCAGGCAGAGGTGGATGTCCAGGGCAGCCATGTGCCCCGCCAGCCAGACTTCCGCAGACCTGGGGCCACGATGGCTGCAGGGATTGTGAAGGGCACACACGTCACGTGTGCCACACTGTAGCCCTGCTAAGGCCGTTTCCAGCTTGGTGGGAGTCGGGACAAAGGGATGGAGCAGGGAGACTTAAGAGATGGTATTGAAGGGCTTTGGAGAGCTGACTGCCTTACAAAACTGCCTCAGGGGAAGTGCTGCTCTGTGAGGAACCTCAGCTTCTTCTCAGCAGGAGGGGTCCCTGGAGCTGACGTCCCCGACACCCTCACTGGAACTGCAAGCCTGGGACAACCTCCTGTGGGCCACGCGAAGTTGGGCTGGCTGTGCAAGGCCCGGTGACAGTCACCACTGATCTAGTCATCCTCATGGAGCGGCTCCGTGCTAAGAGCACTTCGGATATTTAACCCACGGACAGTGCTGAGGGTGGAATTTTATTCCTTCCATTCCCAATTTACAGGTGAGAAAACCGAGGCTTGTGTGAAATAACACGTGCAAAGCCCCCTCCTGGGGAGGAGGAGGAGGAGCTGGGATTGGAACCCACAGCCCGCAGTCCCTCTGACTCCTCACACTGTGGGGGGAGCTGCTCCCCTGGCTCGGGGCCGATACATACAGGGGCACTGGGTAGCAAGGTCAGGGAAGCCCAGGGGCAGCACTCCACCACTACCAGCAGCGACAGGCAGGTCACCTCGTCTTAGGCCCCAGTCCCCGGACGTGCAGTGTGAGGGCGACAGTAGTAGCTGCACCTCTCAGGGTTGTTGAGGCCGTGAGTGTGAGCACACAGACTCAGAACATCACGGTAAAGAGGCAGTGCTTCCTTCGTTGTGATGGTTATCACTCATGACTCTTAGATTCAGCGTCCGCCGCAGACTCCCAGGACCCCCTTCCTATCTGTGTGCAGAGTTCTTCCCAAGGGAGTGCTGGGCTGCAGCCCAAGGACCCATCTTCCACCCCGCCGTCTGACGCCCCTGTCCCCAAGGCCAACATCGGTCTGGGAAGAAGCTCGGTGTTCGCCCTAGCCTTTAGCGCCCTCCTTCTCTGCCTGTGCCTGTGAGGAAGCCCAGGGTATGTGCCGTCCGGGATCTGTGCCCGTCCTGGCTGCCTCCTGCCTGGTCTTACAGAACAGTATTTTCACCTTTAGATTAAAGGGCATTTAGAGGAGGTGACAAGACACTCAGTTTACTAAGCATTTCATTGACACTGCCTTATTTACATGTCTCCCAACAACTCTTAAGAGATGGAGGTGCAATTTTTTTCCTGCTTCAATGGTGAGGATACTGAGGCACAGAGATTAAACCAGTAGCAGGCAGCACTCCTGGAACCCAGTTATCTCTGCTGATGAAGCCGCAAGTCTCAGCTGCTCGCGCTCTGTGCTGTTCAGGCTTCCTCGCTGCCTAAGAGCAGCCGCTGTTGGTCTCCCTAGCATTGGCCTGGGCAAGGGGGAGCATTAAGGAGTCGCCTGGTACGGGCAGGCACCATGCTGCATCCACGGCTGGACGATTCCTGGCCTTCCTAGAGCTTAGCGTTGAATGCAGAAGAGAGAATGTAGAAATCTGTACTTGTAAAAATAGCTGACACTTACCTCGTCCTCCTTTGGACCAGGCACTCTTGTAGAACCAGCACTGTGTGTGCTAATTCATTCACCGCTTACATGAGTCAGGTGGGGAAACCAGAGCACAGAGAAGTTAGGTAATACGCGCCAGGTCACACAGCCGCTAAGTGGAGGAGCTCTGGGACAGAGGACAACAGCGTAAGGCAGCAGGGAACAGTGCAGCCTGCCCTGCACACTGCCACGTCAGGAAGCACAGCAAGGGTCCAACCTGAGTGGTTTAGGGGTCCACTCAGGGGCATTCTCAGAGACGAAGTAACAACCAAGCAGGACTTTGCAGAAAAAGCCGGAGTAGCTTAGGAATTTGGAAGTAGAAGGGCAAAAGGTGAGTTCTAGACA